CGTTTCACGTGGCCAGCGGATCGCTAAAGACAGCTTCGCCGTAAGGATCGTCGGCCGTTGTTTCCGCCGCGGGCTTGGGCGCTCAAGCGCTCCCGAATGGCCGCCTGAGGCAAGGACCAGCCTGAATGAATTCATGAACGGCCGAGGCGGTTGAGCCTGGAACCCTTCGCTGCGGTTCGGCAATTGTGGTCGCCTTTCAGCAGCACGCCTCACATTGGAGCGACCGTGTCAGGGGCGCTGTTCAAGTTGAAACAGTGTGCAAGCGAGTCCAAGGAGAAGGAGAAAATGTGAAGGAAGCGACGTGAGGGACGAAAAGAGGAGTCCCAGGGCAACGGTTTGAGGAGAAGGAAGAGAACGATTTCGTTAGGAAACCGTTGATCAGTAGATTTGGCTAGAGAATTCTAGAGAGCGACATCTGAGCCGATTTGTTGCGTAAGGCAGGTTGCCTCCGAGCAGTTGGTTCTTGCGCAATGTCAATGCCCTGGTGATAGAATTATGTAGCACCCCGCAGTTTCAGGTAAGAGTGAGCGGGCGGCGGAGTCGCTGGCAGCCTCCGAGGCTGTAAAGAAGCCCTCCGGAGGCGCCGTTTTTTGTCTGTTTGTGTTATTTCCCGTTTTTTTGTGTAAGAGTTCAATGTTGTGTTATATAATTGTTTCCCTCTTATATAACGAGCCCGCCGCTGGCGCCCAATGCTTCGTCAATGATACATATATTTACCCGCATATATATATATACACACATACGTATACCTGTCTATATACACACACGTATCTACACATACATATCTACTCATACATATACACATGCTCATATAGATGTATGTTGATATATGTATTTATATGTATATATATGTGTATATATATGTATATCGATAAACATATGTAAATGTGTATATGTACACATATTCCTGGGCACGATGCGGGGGGGGCCCGGAGGGGGCCCTCGACGCGCCATGGGAGGACCAGGCCGCCAGGGGCGCCCCCAGACGGCCCGAGGCAGCCCCAAAGCAAATGACAAGGGCCACAAGAGGCCTCCAAGAGGCCCCAGGGCCGCCGAGATATCGTTCTAACAAGCTCCAAGAACGCCTCCAGACGGCTCCAACACAGCCCAAGGGGTCTCCAAGAGCACTCCCAAAAGGGCCCCAAGAGGCAAGAACAATTGATTTTCCATTGGTTTTCATGGATCTTCGCGTTTCTGCCTTTTCGGCTTCCGACGCTCCAAGACGGTCCCGGAGGCCAAAAATATCGCCCCGACACGGCCTCAGAGGCCCCCAAGAGGGCACCGAGACAGCCCAAGAGGCCCCCCAGACGGCCCCAGAGGCCTTCAAGGCAGCCCAAGAAGGCTCCAAGAACGCCTCAAGAGGGACCCCAGAGGGGGAACACGAACCGACATTTCGAGCTGTCCCCGCCCCTTGAGGCCCCCAAGAGGTCCCAAGCGGCTCCCAAGAGGCCCCCAAGAGGCCCCAAGAAGTTCCCAAGAGGCCCCCGGGAAGCCCCCGGGAAGCCCCAGGCGGCCATCAAGAGGCCCTCCAAAGCTCCCCATCAGACGTCCTGAGACACTCCTACCGATCCTCAACGCCGTGCCATCACCGAGTGCCAGTTGAATCCCATGTCCTGCTCACTCTGTGCTTCTTTCGCGCGTCGTCGTCGTCGTCGTCGTCGTCGTCGTCGTCGTCGTCGTCGTCAGTGGTGAGGCCACCTGGAGGGTTTGATGTGCGTCTGGCGGTGATGTTTTAGCGATTCGGTGCCTTTCGGGGGCTGTCCTGCAAGTCTTCTGTGGCGTCTTCGGGGCCTCTTGGGCAGTGTGCCGCCCTGGAGGGGGCCTCTGAAACCGTCTTGTGGCGAGCTTTCGCCCTTCTGGGGCTGCTGTGGAGCGTCAGCAGGCCGGAAAGGTTGAATCCAACAGGAACAACCAAGAACCAATGGGACACCAAACAACCGTTCAGGATTGAGCACTCCAGGACTGATCATTCAAGTGCCGTGTGGGGTTCTTATTGCTCGAGTAGTTGTGTGGCTTTGCCGCCTAGGGCAGCAGCATCTTTCACGCAGCAATTTCCAGCGGGCTGCAGCCCGAGGTAGCAGCTCATGTACAGCGGTGGCCGTTGCATCCCTGGTACGTTCTGCTATAAGCAAGAAGTGAGGAGCTCCGCGGCAGGCATCATCGCAGCATCGCCCCATTTGGGGGGCGTCGTGGAAGTCTCTTGGAGCGTCTGAGGGGCCATCTGGGCCGTCGGGAAGCCTGCGTGGAACGCCTTGGGAGCTTGGTGGGCCATCTGGAGGTGATTATGGGCTTTTGGGGTCATTTTCCGGCGACTCGGGGGCGAGTCGGGGCTCTCTGGGCGTCTACGGCCGGAACTTCCCCAGCAGACGCTCCCCCAGAAGACGTCGGGAGGCGAAATTTCGGCACTTTCTATTGGGGGAACACGCATTTTCAACGACCACGCGCTTGAGGTCTCCACTGCGTCTACGACGGCGCCCGAAGCGCTCCAGGGAGGCCAAAGACGGCCCACGAACCACCCCCCAAGACTGCCCCCAGACGACCCAAGACAGCCCCAAAGCAAATGAATCCGTAGCCATTTTGGCTCAAGCCATTTTGGCTCAAGCCATTGTGGCTCAAGGGAGGCCTCGCTTCCTTCAGGTGAGAAGGCGCAATCATTTGACCTGCTGACAGCAGGCGGGCACGAATCTGACCAGCATGTCGAAGACTCCCATGACTCTGCCGAGAAGGCTTGGATTGTTTTTCGAATTGCCCACGCTTTGTATCATTATCGTGACCATGGTTGCACTTTCTTGGCCGCTGGTGGTTGCCCTGCGAGGCTGCCAGGGATGGAGCCTGGTCGAGTTGTGGAAGCCACCTGCCGAATCAGAGCAGTCGACGTCATCAGAAAGTACCCTCAAGGAGATTGAAGCGGAGGAGTCTCTTGGGTCCGCAGAGAACAGCGAGGCTGGCGAGGATGCTGAGAGCCGTGCAGTTGGCGTTCTGAGGATGAGTCCTGGACTGAGTCCAACAGTTCACCCGGGTCCCGAGCCCTGGTCCAGGACCCAGACGGTTACCAGTCCATCGGTCACCAGGCGCACAGCGGGACCCTTGGGAAAGCCGACCGCTCTGATCCATATCGGGCCGCCCAAGACGGGGACGTCGTACATCCAAAGGGTTTTGATGGCGTCCCGGGACAAACTCCTCGGAATGAATATCGTGTATTACGTGCCGCCGGTGGAGGGACGTCAAAAGCCAGCGCATCATTTTCTTGCGCAACCAACTCGAGACCAGGCCGCAATGACAGCCTTCCAGGATAAGCTCAGCGAGGCAGTGGCTAAAGGCCAGCACGTGATCGTCAGCTCCGAGGCGCTTTCCCTCGTGAGTCCAAAGTTGATATCGTCGCTGAAATCTTTATTTTCGAAGTTTAACATCAAGGTGGTGCTCACTTACCGGCCATTCCTCGGTCGGACGTGGTCTGCGTACAAGCAGCACCTCAGTACAAACAACCCCCGCGTAATCGGCGTGTCGTTCGCCGAATATTATGGGAAGGCATCCCGATCAGGGACAGATGGCGCAGGATTGTGCGGGTACGCCGCCAGCAACTATATTCAAGGATTTGGCCGTGACAGCGTTTTCATATTAGATTTCCTGGGGGCACAGAAAGACGGCGACATTGTGAATATGCTGCTGTCTGCCGTTGATTTACCGACTTTCGAGGAGCCGCTCGAACGAGTCCATGTCGTGCCAGGATTGACTTCCGACCAGGCTGTTTATTTCCAAATGTGGCACTTATTCGGGAAATACATGTTTGAGCATCACCACTGCATATTGGAGATGCCGCCGAGGCAAATGCTCGCGTACAAGGTTGACGCGATGGTCAAGCACCACACCATGCCGAAGAAGTGTTTGGACATGGAGCCGATGAAGAAATACGCACTCAAAATGGATGCCAATTTCCGAGCTGCGTTTGGAGACCGCATGTTGCATTTCCGCCCAGATTTGTCAGATAATGAGACTACACATTTCGAGATCTGCGAGCTAGACCACCAGATTGTCAGGATGGACTGGAATGATTCGTTCGAGAAGCATGCCGAAGCTCTTTTGAGCAACTCATGCCAGAAGCAGGAGAAGCGGTGACCAGATCGAGTTGCACCTCAGGAGCGTCTGGTCGAGCGCAGTTGGAGGAGCCCCCGGGGGAAAAAAAAAAAAAAAAAAAAAGACAGCCCCAAAGCAAATGAAATGGGCCCCAAGAGGCATCCAAGAGGCCCCAGCGCCGCCGAAATATCGTTCTAAAACGCCCACGATGGCCTCCAGAGGGCCCAAAACGCTTCCAACACGGCCCAAGGGGTCTCCAAGAGCATTCCCCAAAAAGGCCCCAAGAGGCAAGAATCATTGATTTTCCATCGGCTTGTTTTATGGATTTTCGCGTTTCTGCCTTTTCGGCTTCCCGACGCTCCAAGGCGGTCCTGGAGGCCAAAAATATCGCCCCGACACGGCCTCAGAGCCCCAGCGGCCTCGAAGACGGCCGCAAGACAGTCCAAGAGGGCCCCAAGACGGCGCCAGAGGCGCCCAAGACGGCCCACGAGGGCCCCAAGACGGCGCCAAGAGGAAGGAAGCCAAGAGGGGTATCACGAACCGCAAATCCGAGCTTTCCACCCCGAGAGGCTCTCGGGAGGCCCCGAGAAGCCCCCAACAGGCCCCAAGGGGCCCCAAGAAGCGCCCCAGGGCAGCCCACGAGGGCCCCAGGAGGGTGCCCAGACGGCCCCAAGAGGGGCCCAAGAGGGGTAAGACGAACCGAAAATCCGAGCCTTCCACCCCGAGAGGCTCTCAGGAATCCCCCAGAGGCCCCCAATAGGATCCAAGAGGCCCTCAAGAAGCTCCCCAGAGGGCCGACGAGGTTCCAAGAGGCCTCCCAAGAAGGCCCGAAGAGGCACAACTCATTGTTTCGCATCGGTTGTTGATGGATTTTAGAGTTTTCAGCCTTTTGGTATCCCGACGCTCCAAGACGGCCAAAGAGGCCCCCAAGACCGCTCCAAGATAGCCGAAGAGGCCTCCAAGAGGGCCCCAAGACGACCCCACGAGGGGGTCCGTAGCCATTTTGGCTCAAGCCATGAAGGCCTAATAATGTTGGACACTTTCTCGTACTCCTTCATGTTTCCTCGCACGAGTTGTTGGCGTCCTAACACGGACTCATCAATCGACCTTGCGCGCGCATTGTGGCGCGATCGGAAGACATATTGTCGAAAGCTATAAGTTAGTCAAATTGTTGTGACATGTCAATATCATTTGCCATGTATTCGATGATTAATGTATCAATCCTATTGCTATCTCTCGCATGTACGGTGAACTCATTGAAACCTGCAACGAAGTATTCGAAGCAGGCTATTGATGTGAAAGGTGCTCCATCGCAAAATGTGGTAAATGCATCTTCGTTCCCGGTGCTGATGTCGTACCATTATTCTTCCCGAGATTCTGAAGCTATATTCATCATGTCAACGTGCACCTTAAATTATCGATGGGATGGTGTTGCACTCAGCAAGGCTCAAAAATCAATCGTCGCGTTTGAAGTAGTGGACGGTGCTCAAGTTGTGAAATCGAGTTATGTGGAGCCTGCCGTGACTATCAACTGGCAAACAAATCAACGACAAATGCCTGAAGCTTGTCAAGTCAAACGGTGGGATGAGGTGCTTTTCGTAGTGATATGCCCCAAATTGGGGCGCGAAGTTACCGCGACATTGTCCATGCACGCTGGATCCGAGCGCGTTGAAATCTGGGAAGGCGTACATGTTAGCATCGACCGCGATGCGGTTCCAACAAGGCAGGTGCAAGTATGTAGCATGGACGGCAAACCTGGGGATGAGAATGTCGACAGAATGTTGAACCACGCTGCGTACTACAGTGCCATTGGCGTTGATGCTGTTCGCCTGTATTATCGCGGGGGGTGGGGTGCGCCTGGGTTTTCAGATGAATTGGGCTCCGAGGAGCTCGCCGCGTGGATACAGTCAGGGAAGCTTGAGATAGTACCTTGGAATCCATCCTGGGACATGACTCCCAGCAATGATGCATGGAAGGCTCCTGAGCCTGCCGGCTGGGAATGCGCAGGTGACGGGCCAGCATATCTAGATTGCTTGTATATGGCCAAGGGCAGCGTTGATTGGCTCGGAGTTGTACAACAAGACGAGTTTTACCATCCTCAGAAACAGAAGCACTTGCGGAAAATATTGGCATCCATTCCGCCTGACATCGATTATTTGGTGTACACGTTGTACGAGTGGAATGCAACCCGTCCGGGGAAGGTGTCTAATTATCTGACAGAAGAGCACGTTCTGCGAAGTCCATATATTGGAGCTGACGGCGGGACAGCGTGGGGGGTTCTTGTCCGCCCTCGTTCGGCAGTTCATCTCGGTGCTCAAGGTGCAGTTCTTTCCAGTGACGAGGCGCTTGGTCGATACCTGGACCCTGAAGGAGAACTTGTTATGGAGCATTTCACTAAGCATCCAAACGTGAGGTTTTCACGAGACATCCGTGTGAACACCACTGCAGTCAATGTCAGATCATTGGACGACCAAGCACAGACCCTTTCAGAGACCGAATTAGACGAGTCACATTTTCTCGAATATCAGCCCTACACAGTGTGGAAGGAGGAGTGGGCAGTTAAAGTGGCAGCTGTCCGAAAACACATAAGACACATGTACATGTGACTCCTCCTCCTCCTCCTCTCGGGCTGTTTAGTTCAGTCCGCGCTGGCGCCGATTGTCTGTCGCGGCGAATCCCTGCAGGAACCATGAGTGTCCTTGCCAGCCCACGTCTTTTTGCTTGTCTGCTTGCTTGTACATGTGAGTCATCGTGGCAGGATTCGCAGCCGCTTCTGGGAAAAAAAAAAAAAATAAAAAAAAAAAAAAAACGACCCCACGAGGGCCCCAGGAGGGTGCCTGAGGCGCCCAAGACAGCCCGAGAGGACCCCAATACGACCCCAAGAGAGGCCGAAGAAAGGGAAAGCAAACCCAACAGCAGAGCCTTCCGCCCTGAGCTGTCCACAGGAGGCCCCAAAAGTCCTCAAGTGGTCCGGCGAGGCCCCAAAAGCTTCCCAAGAGCTCCCAAAAGGTGCCCAGGAGACGTACAAGGGGCCCCAAGATAGCCGAACAGTGCCCTCGATGCATCAAAACTGCCTCCAGGAGGCCCCCGGGAGGCTTCCAGATTGCCTCAACGTGGCCCCAGGTGGCCTCAAGTCGGGCCTCCACGCAGCCTAGACGGCCAATGACGGCTTCAGATTGCAGAACATCACCTTCCGATTGCCCGGAGAACCCCGACGATGCCCCCAATGGGACCCCAAGACGCCCCTCCAAGAAGCACCCAGGGGGTGCCTCCAGCAGCAAATTGAGGAAGCACAGAGAACCCCCCAGAAACCCTTCAGATGCCCCCACGAAGACCCAAGAGGTTCCCAATAGGCCCTCAGGAGGCACGACTATGTCACGCGTCTGTGCTTGATAGCGCTTTCTAAGATCTTCAAATGCCCCCCTGGCCTGGGCTAGAACCTGAACGCGCGCGAAGCGAACGATAGTTCTAGCATATATATGTATATATATATGTTAATATATATATATATGTATTAACATATATATATACATATATATATATATATGTTAATACATATGCGTATATCTATATATTTGTATATATATATATACATATATATCTATATGTATATGTATACGTATAAAAGTATACAACGAGCCCGCCTCTGGCGTTCAATTTTTCGTCAAAGTAAATGGGTGGGTCGCGGGTGGGTCGCGGCGGTTGGGTCGCGGAGTGGGTCGCGGGTGGGGCGCGGGTGGGTCGCGGGTGGGTCGCGGCGGGTGGGTCGCGGGGCGGGTCGCGGGTGGGTCGCGGGTGGGTCGCGGGAGGGTCGCGGGTGGGCCGCGGGTTTGTCGCGGGCCGGGTCGCAGGTGGACAACAAACAAGAGACAACAAACAACAAACGACCAGCAACGACAACAGCATCAATAACAACCACGACAGCAACACAAACCACAACAGCACCAACAACACCAACAACAACAATACTAATAACAGCTACACCATCAACACCACTAACAACAACAAAGACAACAACACAAACAAAAACAAAAGCACCACCACCATCACCAACAACAATACCAACAACAACAACCCACACCACCATCGCCACAATCACCATCACCAGCAACAATTACCACAATCACCACCACCAGCAACAACAACAGCACAATCACCACCACCAGCAACAACAATAAGGATGAGGATGATGATAATGATGGTGATGATGAGGAGGATGAGAATGATTCTGCTGCTGATGAGGATAAGGATGATAATGATGATGGGGATGATGATGATGATTATGATGATGATGAGGATGATGATGGGTGATGATGAGGATGAGGATGAGGATGATGATAAGGATGATGAGGATGAGGAGGATGATGATGATGATGATAGTGATGGTAATGATGAGGATGAGGATGAGGATGAGGATGAGGATGATGATGATGACGGCGATGACGATGATGATGCTGATGATGTTGATGATGATGATGCTGATGATGATGATGCTGATGACGACGACGACGATGATGCTGCTGATGCTGTTGCTGCTGCTGCTGCTGATGATGATGATGATGATGATGATAGCGGTGGTGATAGTGGTCATGTTAATGAGAAGTAGGAGGAGGAAACGGAGGAGGGTGTCGTGGGATTGTTCGGGGCTCCCTTGATGCAGAGGCCAAAACCGTCACGTGTGACAACTCGGCAGTTCCAGGGCGGACGAAGACAGTGATGATGATGATGATGGTGGTGGTGAGGACGATGCTGAACATGATGATGATGATGATGACGATGATGATCATGATCATGATCATGATCATGATCATGATGATGATGATGATGATGATGATGATGATGATGATGATGATGGTGATGGTGATGGTGATGGTGATGGTGATGGTGATGGTGATGATGATACTGATGATGATGCTTGTAATGACGATGATGATGATGATGATGATGATGATGATGATGATGATGGTGGTGATGGTGGTGATGATTGTGATGATGACGATGATGATGATAATGATGCAGGTGCTGATACTGATGATGATGCTAATGATGATGCTGCTGATGCTAATGACGATGATGATGACAACGATAACGATGCTGATGCTGGTGCTGGTGAGGGTGTCGTGGGGCTGTTCGGGGCTCCCATGATGCAGAGGCCACAAGCGTCACGTGCGACACATCGGCAGTTTCGGGCGGACGAATGGTGATGATGATGCTGATGATCATGATGATGATGGCGATGAGGATGCTGATGATGATGATGATGACGATGAGGAGGATGAGGATGACGACGACCACGACGATGCTGACGATACTGATGATGATGATGCTGATGATGCTGATGACGCTGATGACGATCATGATGGTGGTGGTGGTGGTGGTGATGATGATGATGATGATGATGCTGATGATGATGATGATGATGATGATGATGATGATGATGATGATGATGATGATGATGATGATGATGATGATGATGATCCCCCCTCAGCGGGCACCGTGCGCTGCACAGGAGCCGCCCCGCGGCCGCGGCCGCCGCGCCGAAGCCTCAGCCCCGGTCCGCCGAGTGCTCGCCCTCGACACAAACGCAGGCCGCTGGACGAGCGCAGAGAGCGACAGGCGCTACACAGCCCCCCCGCCGCCGGCGACGAGCTCCATGAAGTCGAGCCGCACCCCCGTGAGGAGACCCGCCTCCTCCGCGTCCGCCTTGAGGATGCGAACGCTGGCCGCGTCCCCGTCGACCGCGTCGATCCGCCCCACCGTGCCCTCAAAGAGGCCACAGCGTCGCAAGACCACCACGTCGCCAGCGCCCACGGCCCGCCGACGGGCCACCGCAGCCTGCGCCGTCGACCGCTGCAGGCCGTCGGCCCAGGAGTCGTCCATGGGGCCGCCGTCGGGCGGCGCGGCCGCCGCGGCTGCACCAGCCGAAGCTCCAGCTTCGGGGTCCCCCACGCCAGCCTCCGCCGCCGCCCCAACTCCACCAGGACGAGCACCTCCCCGAGAAGCGGGCGCTACCGTCGCCGACGACGCCTGGCCAGGCCGTGCCGGGCGCCGAAGCCGCCGAGCCCGTGTATTCGCCGCTGTTGCGCCGCCAGCTCCTCCATCCTGCTGCTCCTCCGCGTCGTCGCCGTGGGCGCCCGGCACGGCAGGCGAGGGCCCGGCGCCGCGCCCCGCGCGGACGCGCGGCCAGTGTCGCCTCCGAGGGAGCGCCGCGGCCGCCGGCTCCGGCGGGGAGGGCGCTGCCTTCGTGCCGAGCTCCACAATCGCTGCCCGGAGCAGCCCCTCGGCGGCCCGCAGCATGCGCACTCCCGACCAGGAGTGGCACGCCGCGAGCCCGCTGGCAGCGTGCGCCGCCAAGAGAGCGCCGCGGGCCGCCTCGGCGGCAGCGCGGGCTCCGGAGGGACCGGCCATCGCTGCCCTTCCTCAGCCTCCACCTGCTGCCGGGGTAGCAGGCGGGCGGGTCTGTGCGGGCGCGCGGCCTGCGTCGGGGGCGCGGGCGCGCGCGGCGGGGCCAGCGTGCACGCCTTGGGCCAGTATGCCGACTATGATGATGATGATGATGATGATGATGATGATGATGATGATGATGATGATGATGATGATGAGGAGGAGGAGGAGGAGGAGGAGGAGGAGGATGATGATGACGATGAGGAGGATGATGATGGTGGTGATGATGATGATGATGATGATGATGATGATGATGATGATGAGAGGTAGGAGGAGGAAACGGGGGAGGGTGTCGTGGGGCTGTTCGGGGCTCCCATGATGCAGAGGCCAACACCGTCACGTGCGACACATCGGCAGTTTCGGGCGGACGAAGATGGTGATGATGATGATGATGATGATGATGATGATGATGATGATGATGATGATGGTGGTGTTGGTGGGTGGTGGTGAGGACGAGGATCAGGATGATGATGATGCTGATGATGCTGATGATGATGCAGATGATGCAGATGATGATGATGATGATGCTGCTGATGATGATGATGACGATGATGATGATGATGGTGATGATGATGCTGATGCTGATGAGGATGTTGACGATGATGACGATGATGACGATGATGCTGATGATGATGATGATGACACTGATGATGACGATGCTTGGGATGTGGATGAGGATGATGGTGATGATGATGATGATCATGATCATGATCAGAATGATTATTACGTTGACGATGATGATGTGATGATGATGATGATGATGATGACGGTGGTGGTGATGATGATAATGACGATGAGGATGTTGCTGGTGATACTGATGATATTGAGGATAATGATGCTGATGACGATGATGATGAGGATCGTAATGATGATGCTGATCATGTTGATGCTGATGCTGAGGATCGTGATGATGATGCTGACGACGATGATGATGATGAGAAGGAGGAGGATGATGATGATGCTGACGATTGTCATGATGATGGTGGTGGTGATGATGAGAAGTAGGAGGAGGAAACGGAGGAGGGGGTCATGGGGCTGTTCTGGACTGCCTTGGTGGAGACGCCGAAACCGTCACGTTTGACACCTCGGCAGTTTCCGGGCGGACGAGGACGGTTATGAGGATGAGGATGATGATGATGATGATGATGAAAATGACGGTGATGATGATGATGATGATGGTGATGGTGATAGTGATGGTGGCGTTGATGATGATGGTGGTGAGGACCAGGATGAGGATGATGATGATGCTGATGATGATGATCATGACGATGATAATGCTGTTGAAAAGGATGTTGACGACGATGATGATGATGATGCTGATGCTGATGCTGGTG